TATATATATATATATATATATATATATATATATATATATATATATATATATATATATATATATGTATTGTTTTTCTATCTGTCTTCTTTGTTTTCTTGTTTCTCTGTCTGTCGTTTTTGTTTATGTATGTCTCGTGTTTATCTTGTTTTCTTTTGTTTATTCGTCTGTTTCATTTGTTTTCGCTTGTACTGTTTGGCCGTATCTGCCACACTACATCTATCTCTTGTTTATTTTAGTTTGTATTCTTTTTTATCTCTGTCTCCTCTGTTTTTTCTGTCTCCTTTGGGTGTCTCTCACTGCTCCGTCGTTGTCTACGTCTCCTGTGGCTTTCGCTGTCTCCCTTTACAGTCTTCGTTTCTGTTTCTTTTTGTTTTCTTTTTTGTCAACTTTTGTGTTGGGTTTCTTATTACTTCTTCTCTTCTCTTCTGTTTCTTTGCGTCCCCTCTTCCTCTTTCTTCTTCTCCGTGCTGTCTGTTTCCTCATTCTTAGCGGAGTTCAGCAGAAGTTCAAACACCCAGACACTCTGTAACCCTAAACCCTAAGCTCAACTGAAGACAACAGCACTAATACAGCCACATAGCAAGCCATCACAAACCCTAAACCCTAAACTCGAGAGGATGTTGTAGAGGTGATGCATGATATTTCATTTATTTTTTTGCTTTTGTTTAGATGGATTGTCTGTGAAAGATGTGAACGGCGCTTCTATGGACAGTTGGCGCTCAAGCAGCACTTATTGGCTGCTAAGCGCTGCAGGCGGCCCCGCGTTCCCTCCGATCGTGAAAACCCTAAACCCTAAACCCTAAACCCTAACCTCCCCTATGAAGGTCTTGGCTTTTATGGTCTACGGTGTGGGGCTTGCAGCCTTCGTGGGCTCCATAGTTTCTGAGGAAATGCTAACGATCGCTCTGTATTCCCCGTCTTCTTGAATGGCAGCGTCACAACAATTTCGGGGCTTGCAATTGCATGCAGATACACATCCAGTTGCATGCAGATGCGCAGACACCCCGGACGTGGATTGAGCTCCCCCAGCCGAGTGCTACAGACTCCTGAACGTTTTTTTTTTTGCAGTTTCTTTGTGGCTTCTTTCTTGGGGGCTTCCCATAGACGAAGAATAAACATCAGGGGGTAGCGGGGTGGTGAACTGTTAGAGGTTTATGCTTAGCGGGGTAATTCGTGAGGTTAATGTACATAGCGGGTAGGGGGGGGTTCTACTGACGAGGGGAATTGTGCTAGTTGAGCCGCTTCTGCTGAAACTTGCACTTTTCATGTTCATTGAAACTGCGTTCTAAACAGTCTACAGTTGCTACCTTTCTTTTCTAAGGAGCTGTAATTAGCACCGAAGAACACGTTACTTGCCAGTACAGCCAACAAGGCGGTACG